TATCCCTCCCCCACCGCATTAACACATCTAATTACAATCCAGCACCACAGGGTTCATCCCCAATTCTCTCTTCCCTTATTTGTAACTTGTTTTTCTAACAGGGAGAAACCTGACTTTCATTATCTACAGTATCTTTAGTTATCTGCTCAATTGTAGAATATGGATAAAGTCATTTCACAATTGTTAACACACACCCCTGCAAAAAAACAAATGTACTAACTAGACTGCAATATTTGTATGAAGTTATTTTTGTCTCTAGCCTTACAGCACAGTCAAAATACTGCTTTCCAAAGTTACTTAACTTAGTTCTTTTGTTCTCCACCCACTCGGCTGTGGTTATGTTAATCACTGACAATACAGTTCGGTTTGTTTGTCCCTCCTTGTGTTTTATTTTGGCTTCTTTCGACACCCTGGTTGCATGTATATGTATGTAAAACATTGCCATGGTTCCAAGAGTCAGAGCAATAACTAAGCAAGTATCACTTATTTTCATCAGCAAAGGGCCCTTTCTCCTCATCACTGCTACTCCATTCCTACTCTCCCATTCTTTCCACCCATTCCCTATAAGTTCCCAAACTTAGTTTCTGGTTTATATTTATTGCATTTCTCCCCCCAGAAATACATGGATATTTTCTTTTATCCTGTTCTTCTTTTATCTTATGGAAATATAATTCACCCTTTTAGCAGGTACAATTCAGGGGTTTTAGTATATTCAGTCACCTCAATCTAATTTTAGAACATTTTCACAATCCTCAAAAGAAACCCTGTACTCCACTCCCTCTTGCCCCCCCCAGTGCCAAGCCACCAGTAATCTCCCTTCTGTCTCAGCAGATTTGCCTGCTCTGGATATTTCATATAAATGAGGTCATACAATATTTGGTCTTTTGTGTCTGTCTTCTCTTTCTTAGCATACAATTTTCAAGGTCCATCCGTGCTGTAGCATTTTATATTCCCATGAGTATGAGGGTTCCAATTTCTCCACACTGTCATCAACATTTATCTTTTTTTTTTTTATTATAGCCACCCCAGTGTGAAGTGGAATCTCTGTGGTTTTGATTTGGATTTTTCTAATGACTAATGATATAGAGATCCTGCCATGCACTTATTAGTCATCTGCATATCTTACATGGAGAAATGTCTAGTCAAGTTCTTTGCCCATTTTTAAATTGGATTATCTTTTTTTGTAATTGATGAGTTGTTAGAGTTACATTTTGGATTCAAGTCCCTTATCAGATATATAACATATGAGTATTCTGTCTCATTCTATAGGTTGTCTTTTCATTTTCTTGATGATGTCCTTTGATACACAAATATTTTTAATTCTGATAAAGTCCAATTTACTTACCTTTTCTTTTGTTGCTGTGTTTTGGTGTTCTAAGAAACCACTCACTGCCTAATCCAAGGTGATGAAGATTTATGCCTATGTTTTCTTCCAAGAGTTTTGTTTTAGCTCTTACATTTAGGCCTTTGATATATTTTGAGTTAAATTTTGCATGCAGATATTCAGCTGTCCCAGTACCATTTGTTAGAAAAGACTACTTTTTCCCTATAGCATTATCTTGGTACTCCTATCAAAAAGAAAAATCATTTGACTATAAATGTAAAGGTTTACTTCTGGACTCTCAATTCTATGCCATTTTCTTAGCTACCTATCCTTAAGCAAGGACTACACTGTCTTGATTACTGTAGCTTTGTAGTAACTTTTAAAGTTGGAAAGTGTGAGTTTTCCAACTTTGTTCTTCCTTTTCAAGATTTTGGTTATTTTGGGTTCCCTGCATTTCCATATGAATTTTAGGACCAGCTTATTGATTTGTGCAAGAAAGCCAAATTTGATAGGAACTGCATTGATTCTATAGATTAATTTGGGGAGTAATGTTTTTGAAAAAATATGAAGTCTTCCAGTCCATAAACACAGGCTGTCCTTTCATTTATAGGTCTTCTTTCTTTCAACAATGCCATGTAGCTTTCAGTAGTTTAACACTTCCTTTGTTAAATTTATTCCTTATTTTTTAAAAATTTTTAAAATAATATTTTTTTATTGAGTTCTAGTCATTTTACAATGTTGTGTCAAATTCCAGTGTAGAGCACAATTTTTCAGTTATACAAAGTATTTCATTTTTTTGATGCTATTGTAAATGGAAATGGCTTTTTAAATTTCAGAGTATTCATTGCTAGTATATAGAAATCTGTATTAATCAGGGTTCTCTAGAGAAACTGAACCAATAGAAGATATATACACACACACCCCCCTCTCCAATCTTATATGTACATCTTATTATATATACCTAATAATGTACAGTTTTATATCTCCTATTCATATTATCTCGATATGTACATATATATGTGTTATCACAATAGAACCAACAGACAATATCCATCTATAAGGAGATTATAAAGAATTGGCTAATGTGATTATGGAGATGAGGAGGTCCATTATATGACTATTTCCACCTTTTCTATTCTATTCCTCTGGCCTATTGTATAGTCAAGTGGCAGTACCGCACTGTTTTAATTACAGAGGCTTTATAATATGTTTCAAGGTCTGGAAAGGCTAGTTTCCCCTGCGGTCTTCCATTTTCAGTGTTTTCCTAGCTATTCTTCAATGCTTCTTTTTCCATACAAATTTTAGTAAAGTTGACTTAAACTTTCACATAAATTTGCTATTTCTTCTAAACTTCCAACAACTTCAAAGTTCACTTTCTTTATCCATCGAATAACTAACTTTCTCATCTTTTCATCAGATTTCTGAGTGTGAACGTCTGAGGGGTCAATCTGATGAACAAGAGCCTTTCTCTGCACCTAGTTATTCTCTTGAATTACCATCTTCTCGCCTCCCAAACCAGGTCACGTGCCCTGCAAGAGAAAAAAGTCCTGGTGCCTCCATTTCCTCATCATTTGCTTCTGAATAGCACTTTTATTTTTAACATTTTTTATTGACTTATAATCATTTTACAATGTTGTGTCAAATTCCAGTGTAGAGCACAATTTTTCAGTTATACATGAACATATATATATTCATTTTCACATTTTTTTCTCTGTGAGCTACCATAAGATCTTGTGTATATTTCCCTGTGAATAGCACTTTTAGAGTAGGAGCAAGTTTCAGTTATTCTACAGTGAAAATATTGTTGGGCCTTGAGCCTCTAATGAACAGGGCAACTTACTTTCAGTCCTGAATTCTCCAGAGGTGAACAGAAGAGACACGGTTAGTAAAGGGAAGGTCACTTGCTTCATCAATAATCTGTCCCGCCCATCAGCAGTAAACCAACTCCCTCCCAGTTACTGGAAAAGAAAGAGGAAGGCGTTATCACCCAACAAAAATTTTTTAAAAAGAAAAAAAAAGTCACTTTCCCTTTAACTAGCAGGACTGCGTTATCGTGTGTACTCCTCTGTTCAGTCTGCCTTCGGCTTTTCAGGGCCCAGGCAGCTCCAGCACTACCCGACACAAGGCAAGCAGGGAATCAAGGGTACTCCGGATTACAGCACCCCTTCCAGCAATGCTACAGGCCCAGCGAGGCCAGGCGCGCAGTCGTCACGGCCGCTGAGCCAGCGAGCAGCAGGGAAGCTGGTGCCCAGGTCGCCGTTCCCGACTCGCTTGGGGAGGGGCGTGAGCTGACCGCGAAGGCAGCACGAAAATCGGGTCCAAAGGCGGGGTGCGG